AAAAAAAATTTGATTCACTTTAGATCATAAATCACAATTTCATATTTTTAATTTTATAATTTCTACATGCCATCTTACTAGATTTAAACTGATGATCTAATATCCGGAACAATCCCAAATCCAGAATCGCCGAAGTGCTTACGAGTCTGGATTTTGGACTTCGTACTGTACAATTTTGGATGGCAAAACAGGATGACTGATTTAATTTTGGATTTCTGCATGAGATTAAAAATGGATCCTATCATAGAAAGTCACAAATAAAAAGGGAAAATCAAAATGAAATGCATGATTGCAGAAAGTGTGAAAAGAGATTCTAATTTTTTGGATAATTTTTTCAAGGTATAATATGGAAAACCATTTTGTTAACTGGTATAAAATGATTAAAACTAGAAAAAAAGCCAAATTTTTTCTCAAGATTTAACCTTACACAAAGGCTGTGAATATTAAAAGTGGCTGCAAATGATTAAGTAGAATTTCACGCAACAAAATCTTTTTTAATATTCAACAATTAATAAGTCTGTGAAAGCTTTAAATACATTAAAAAAGCTTTCTTTTTCCCCTGGCAAATTTTAAAATTTCCCTGATGCTTTTTTTTTTTTTTTTTTTTTTCCCATGGAACTAAAAAATCTCAAAAAGAAAACTTTTTTAAAGACACTTTTAAGTCATGTACAAGAGAATCAAGATGAAGCATATATTAACGACAAAACAGGTGTTTTCAAAGAGTATAATCATGTCTATTAATATTATGAATTTTCTCAGTGAGTCACATCATACTGAATTAAATTTACATTTGATTTTAATTAATAAGAAAAGCTTTCCACGCATCAGAAAATAAATTCATACATACATTCATTCAGACATAAATACCTACGGAAAAACTTTATAGGCTAATAGACTGGATAAGTCGTCTAGAGTAATAACTAAAAAAGCAAGAAAATTCGCTGTTCGTATTCAGATAACTTGATTTGAGTAAAGTATTAAAAATATTACTTAAAAAATCAGGTAAACAATATTTTTTAAGTGCATTTTGATAAATACCAATGGCTAAAACTATTTCTAATATTTCCTCTTAACACAGCATTATCCTATTATTAATTGCATAGAATATCTTTCAGAAAACCTACAGAGATGTAGAAAAGACATCAGTAATACACTGGTAGACAACTGCTAAGGATGGATCATAAACGGCTATACAGCACGTAAAAAAGTAAGTGTGCTTGGATGCCAAGTGAAATAAAATAATGCCAGAATACTAAGACATAACAATAAAGATAATTTATTGTGCTTTGAAATCAAGAAGGCTCTGAAAAGTGTTCAAGGGACAAAATGGTCATTTTGTACTGAATATGTAAAAGTGAAAAAAATAGAATTACTATCTGCAGGCATTCTGGTGTAAGATGTCAATACAGAATACGGCCACCATAGAGGGCAATGTAAAATTTCACATGTCATGTCAGGCTTTGCACAACATTATCCAGCAGTTGTTGGGGTAATTCATCCTATTCCTCTGTCAGTGCACGGATGAGGGTGTCCTTGTCTATTGGATGGCATTGTCGACCAGCAAGACTCCTCCACAAAGCATCCCAAACATTTTTAATAGGATCAGATTTGGAGAACTTGCTGGTCATATGAAGTGTTGAATACCCTCATTCTCTACACAGTTCTAGACAGTGACTGAAGACATAACACACTGTTGTCCATGAAAACAAATTTATCACCAACAGCACCACAGAACATGCAAACATAAGGCAGTACATCATTAATGCTCTGTTGGCGAAATTACAGTCTCAGCTGGAAGCACAGAGTGACATACGGCCATTGATCATGATCCCAGCCCATAGCATGATACTACATGTAGGATTTTGGTCCTTTTCAACTAGGTTTGCTGAACTATATGTAGTACTACTCTCACGTCACATCAGCTGTCATTCACAATCAGATGACAAACTGAACCCACTTTCATCTGAGAGTAGTAAACAAGTCCAGTCATCTTCCATCCAATTACAATGCTGAAGACAGCATTGCAAATGGGTGGAATGGTGATGTCTAGACAACAGAATGCATACAACAGGAGAGCGAGTGTATAGTCATCCTTGGTGCAAATGTCCGACTACCATTTTTCAGGAGATTCGCTTATCAGTAGCAGCAAGTAACTGCTTTGCAACCTCAACAGCTGTGCTGCATGCATCAGTCCCTTTTAATAGATAGCAGCACTAAGTACCTATCTTCTGCATGCGTTATACTACGAACAAGATCTTTCCTGCGAAGTTTACTACACATTGCATTTGTCGGAAATGATTTCAAAGCTTTGAAACAACACTATGGCTGATGTCAAACTCCTTAGTAACATCAGTTATTTTTTGCTCTTCTTCAATCTTTCCCATAACAAGGGCATGCAAAATCCATTTAAGTTATGTCGGGAAAACTTACCGAAAATTGCTAATTCATTAATTGATTCTTTCCTGTTAAATTTTGCTTCTGAACAACAACACTGAATACGCATCAAATCATCTTTTAACAGCACTATCACATGGCAAAAAACTTCGTGAATCCAAAATTTGCATACTCACAGCATGCCTTACTGTATTCCACACTAATGTTAATTTCCATATTTTCCCCTCTTCAGTTGCTATCACTGCTATTGTCATCCGTGCTTAGCAACTCTCCACCACTGTATTTTGACGAAATAAAAGGTCTAATGAAAATGAAACCAGATTGAATACAGAATCTAAAAAATAATTATAAAGGTTCTTGAAAGTTAATTAAATTAAATACAGAATTCAATCTATATAAATTTAGATACCAGTTAAATCACCTACCTTCCCTGTCTGAATTTAAAGCTGATCAAATTTGCATAACTGAAGTCAATCCCTTTCATATTGACTGAAATAAAGCTAATCATTCTACTAAATTCTAATTTCAAAATAAAAAATAGAATTCTATTTTTTAAAATTGATCTTTATTCCAAATGAATTAGCACGAACAGAACTCCTAAAAAAGCTTGCAAAGCAAAATACTAAATGGAAATAACAATAAACTCAGAAGGACAAAATTTCTAATATCATTAAAAAATTACAGACATCAGTACTAAAGGTTCTCAACCTGTCTAAACCAGTTATTACTCTTATGAAACTTCAAAAGCAAGAACATAAAAAAAAAAATCTGAAAGCTTTCAAAATTCAATTCAATGGCAATATCACAAAATATTTTTAAAAAGCATAGCTTTAGAATTTCTGATAGACACTCTCAGTCTGGAGATAAAAATGTTTCTTTCCATACAGTGTTGTAATTGCTAACTTTGAAATAGTTGAGTTTGTTAATCAATAATTCATTAAAGTTTGGCAAAATATGAAATAGATAATAAAGCAAATTCAAAATTCAGGCTTCCATGTTCCCATGTTCAGGTGGATGGTTATGTTATTCAAAATTTGATGGGTCTAGATAGTTTTTTGCAATGTGAGAAACATATACACATTCATGTAGATTCATCATTTAATTTCTTTAAATATAATACAGAAGATATATTTGTTGGCAACAATTTAAAAAGTGAATATGCTGTTTATAGTTAAATGACGCAAAATGCCTTTATGAGACTAACAGTCCTTCTGGGGCTAAAGTGCCTTTAGGCTAAACTTTTTATCAAGAAGCTTTTCAGAAAAACAACTATAGACCAATTTTCTAATCTGAAAGATATCATCGATATGGCATTAACAATAAAAGATAAAGAGAAATATTTAAATTTAATTACGATTACAGAATACATGCAATTAATTTTTTTAGTCATAAGTATTTCCATGACAAGTACATTTCTATATGAAATACCTAAGATGTAAAAATACAAAAACCTGTGGAAAATTACATGAAAGAAATCATGAATATATTGAAAACTGCATAACACTATTCAATTAAGAGATCCAAACTAATGAAAGCAAAAATATGAAATTTAAAAAATGCTAACACACATAATTTTCAAAGGTTAAAGTTCATTACTTGACACATTCAGTTTTCCTTACATTAGAAAATTATGCAGATATAAAATGAATATTTAAAATCTTTACATTTTTTAATATTTTAAACTGCCTATTTGTTGCATCATTATGTACAGTTGAAAGTTGTACTTGCAAAAGAAAATTACACTTCCAAAATATATAAAATTGTAGATAGACAAAATTTGTTTTTATTTACTAACAATCTTAAAAGCAGATTATACTAAAATATACAACAAAACTCGCAGAACTTTCAACAACTGCACAACAAGCAAATGTTCATATAATCTAATGGGGCTCCACTAGGACACAATCAGAAAACTGTTAAAAATCTACCTGATATTAAAATATGAACCAAAATTTGAAGCATGCACAATGTTAAAATGTTCCATGTTGAAATATTTCAGGTTTGAAGTAATTTTCAAAACTATAAATTCTTTAGCAACGAACTGATTTTTATGCCAAATTAATATAAGTTTTTAGTTGGTGTCATTGTGTACGTGTTTCACTAAACATTTTCTGGATTTCTATTTAAAATTTTTTTATTTTTTAGAATTTAAAAATGTATAATACTTTATACATATATTTACTTTTCAAACATGCCTGAAATTACTCACTATACATACATTAAAAAAATATATATATACAAAGAAGCAATTAATTTTTTTACAAGGAATAACAGTAAAAGAGCCAAGTCTTCCTTTAAAGAAAAAATCAGAATGGCTTTCCTGCAACTTCTTCCTGTGAAAACATTCTCCAAATAAAAAATACATATTAACATTTACTTTGCTCCTAATAGCAATTTTCATATGCTTTCAAAATGCCTTGTTTGTGAGATATTTTGTATTATCAACTTAACTGATTCATGCTATACACACGTATCTGGGGATCAACAAAACTTATACTATAATATACATCCTGCAGGGCATTTTTCAACCATTTGAAGGCTTGTAGCAGAACAATGCAAAGCACTCCACTTAGACTTATAACAATGAAAAATCTTTTTCTACTTACATGATAAGTACTATTGCCTTGAAGATTAATCTGAAAAAGGAAATATAATTTAGTTACAGAAAAGTATTTAACAAAAGAAAAAAAAAAAGAAATAGATAAAATAATTTTACATTAGAAAAGGCAGACAATTCTTGATCAAGCACATAAGAAAAAATATGAGAAAATCCTTACATAAAATTCTTCCAATAAAAGAGTATGAAAAAACAAAAGGAATTTTTTTATTGCACTACATTTAGAAACAAACAAATAACATTATTCACATTTAAAAAAAAGTCTACCTATATTCCATGAGCTATGCATGAGAAATTTTCAATGAACTTTTACACGAACATACATTGAGACACAATAACACGCCGAATAAATACTAATTTAGAAGTCAAACAACAAAAATCAGCGTTATATTTACAAAATTTTCACTGTGAAAATTTTGTAAATATAACGCTGATTTTTGTTGTTTGACTTCTGAAGAACATACATGTCGACTAAAATAAAACTGATAATACATTAAGGGATACATTTAAAATAAGATTAAATAATTAATTTAAATTATTAATACTGAAAAATATACTCAAAAATTTTTTTTTTAAATTTCAATACTTGATAACCATAACTATATACTAAAAATATACTGAATACACAGCTGGCCATTAAAATTGCAACACCATGAAGTATCTAAATTTTTTCTCTACATTTCGAACTTTAAGCCTAAAATGTCTCCAAAAACACAGTTTTCGTACATGCAAAAACCACATTTTGAACACACAATTTAAGCTAAAAATCCAAAACAGAAACGTAAAGTTTCTAAACAAAAATATTGACAAGAATCCATGTACACAGCGATATGTTTTAACTTGAAAAAAATCTGCGAATTGCACAATCTAAGCAGCAAAAGGATCTACGAACTACGCACACCTCGCTTTAATAAATTAACAACAATAAATTTCAGAGAATACCATGTACACAGCGTTCTGTTTCAACTTTAAAAAACATCTATGAATCGCACAATCTAGGCACTACGCACTAATAAACAAAATAAACTAAAATTAATTTCAAACAATTCAAAAAAACAATAACGACAGAAATTCATACTAAAAAAAAATGAACATAAAATTCTACAAAATAAGAACAAGAATAAAATAAAATGCACTTATCATGAATGAATGCTTTTTTTGAACAGCAAAAATACCAATTTCATACCGCCATTAACATGCTGCCACGTAATCACTATTGTATTTATACAACAGCCAGACATACTATCCAGAAAATTTATACCATGGTTCACAAATAAATGTTCAAAAACTTCTTTTCCTAAATCCTTGTAAGATTTTCTGCCATCCGAAAAAAATAGTTGCACAAGGCTCAATCCACTCTTTAATACATTGCATCACCATTTTCCTTACTTCTATCATGCACAGCCACTAAAAATAATCTCTCAGACCCTCTTGCAACCACATCTCTTACTGCAACATAGGCCATTTCAAAACACGCACGACACGAACCAGCGAGCAATTAAACCACTCCAGAAGAGTTTTCAACATAAAAAGGGTTGCCATACAACACAGAATCTCACCAAAAACCAGCGCAGAACACATATTGTCACATTTGGTGATCTTAGGGCGCATATAAGAGTAGAGCCAAGTTTATATTTTAATGATGAATGAAGGGTTGTGATCTTGGTGACCATAGTCGCAGTCATCCCTGACTAAATATGTTTTAAACAATTGCAATCTAGTGATATTTATTTAAGTGCATTAAAAATCACTTAAATATAAAAATTTTTAGCAGTGGGCTGAATCTTGTTGATAAAGAAAAACCATTTTTCAACCACACAGTATATTTATGTGATTTCTCATATTATGTTAAAGCATTTGTTTATTATTCTAATTTCTATTTTCATTTGCACAATCAGTTCTTTTGCATCAAACATATTCATACTAAATAAAATTAGTCTGAAAACTGATTAATTTGGTTAATTAGTTATGAACAACAATAATGTCAGGAGCTATGTTTTGATTTTTAAAGGAAATGGAAACAAAGCAAAGAACAATGATGAAAACAAAGAAGAATACTAGGAATGAGAATTTTTCTGTAATCAAAATTTTACTACAGTATTAAGGCAGACTATCAGAATTCTACAACGAAGCTTCAAAATACCTAAATTCTGTCAAAAACTGATTTTCTAATTTTGATCAGCAGTGTTTCCAAATATCTCTTTCATAATATCCACAAACTGTTTACAAATTTATCAATTATTATTGAGGTTAAACGTATATGTCGAAGGTAGAGCGTCTTTCTGTTGGTATGAAAAAGTGATGGACTGTTGCCAATAGCGCGACAAACATTATGAACTGGAAACCCTACAAAGGAGTTAATTGTGTAACTCGATTATTCTTTTTTTTTTTTTTAGTTTTCTCACTCCTTCAGGAAAGGACAGTGATATGTAATGTATGACACTCTCTATTATATAAATCCCTTTTTCGATATATATTTGTGATACTAATGAATTTTAATCTATTTTCATGTATTAATAAAGAATGTGTTTCACTTACAATTTCCGCCTATAACCTTTTCTGGATTACAAGTTAATTAGGTATGATCTCGCTTGATGCTGCACTGGATACAAGGTAAGAGGAATCAATTTGCTCTCTACTTTTATTAATTTGTTGTGAAATTTCGAAGCTGCAAAAATGTTTTACAACAAAAGATTATGAGCCCTGATGAAAAGATCATACCTTAATTAAATAATAATAAAGAAAAAAACTGTAAAGGCTAAACTGTAGATTCATATCAAAACCTAAAATAAATTTTTTTGACAATACAAAAATGCTGCATTTAAGTCAAATGCAAATTGCAAAACTGAATTCCAGCAATTACTCAATATGGAAATTCAAAATGCAAATGCTACTAATAAAGGAGGATCTTTACAATGTAATCGAAGATGTTCCTCCAAACCCCATTACAGAACAATGGAGGAAACGGGATCGGCAATGCCGCGCGATGATAAATTTATTTATCGAAGACAGCCTCATAATTCACATTAAACATGAAACTATTGCTAAAGCAACCTGGGAAAAACTCAGGTAGGTACATGAGAGGTCTAATCTTTAAGGTAAACTATTCCTTTTACGAAAGCTTTACAGTTTGAAGCTTGAAAAAGACGGAAATATGCAAACACACATTACTGGATAAACTCAAATCAATAGGTGAGAACATAAAAGATGAACACGTTTTGGCACTTTTGTTTTGTTCAATGCCTAGTTCTTACGATATGCTCATTATGGCTCTTGAAGCGAGAGCAGAATCGTAACTGAATCCAGAATTCTTAAAAGGGAAATTAATTGAAGAATTTAATAAGAGAGTTGAAAAAATTCATCATATTCAAAGGCATTTAAAGCCTCATTTCAAAACAAGACAAAGAGAGAAAAGTTTTGCTCATATTGTCATAAAAATAACCATTTTAGATCAGAGTGTTATCTAAAATCAAAACAAAAAAAAATGAACTGCGCCAAAACTCGAAGAAAACAGACACAGATTCTAAAACATGCCAAACAAAGAATGCTTGTAACCTCGCGATGAATCAACAAGAAACAAAAATTAAAACACCAGAAATCGAATCCAGATGCTGTGGCGTCGCTCTGTCTGCTGACAAAATCATACATCAATCATCAGAGTTTTATTTTTGATAGCGGTGCAAGTAATCACCTGGTAAATAATAAGAAATATTTCACGGAGTATAAACCCATAAATCCGTCAGATAGTATAACTGTGAATGGGCAATGTATTAAATCAACAGCGATAGGAACTGTCCGTTTTAAAATATTAAATGTTAAAAAAAAAATAACTGAAGTTCTTTTATCGAAAATTTTATACGTTCCTGAATTAGAAGCGAATTTAATCTCAATTAAGAAAATAATAGAAAAAGGACTTTCAATTCTGTTTGAAGGCAATAAATGTATGATCACAAAAGGAGATCAGATTATTTTAGAATGTCATGCAACTAACAATCTTTACCAAATTAAACCAATTGATAGGAATAATGAACCATCAACTCATAAAGCATTTCAGTGCAAAAATGAGAACTGTGTTCAACTTTGGCATAGACACCTTGGTCACAGAAACGATGACTCGATCAAACAACTTGTAAACAAAGAACTCACTGAAGGAATTAAACTGGATAATTGTAAACATGATACCAAATGCATTCAGTGCATAAAATGTAAACTGACTGATTTCCCGTAACCAAAAGAATAGAAATTCAGAATATCTAAACTGCTCGAACTCGTTCACACTGATGTTTTAGGACCAGTACAAACACCATCTGTCAGTGGATACCTGTACTTCGTAACTTTTATTGATGATTACAGCAGGTTCACAATGATTTACCTAATGAAAAAAAAAAAAAAAAAAAGAACTAATATCTAAACTAAAACAATTTATTGCTCTTACAAACAAATTCAAGAGAAAGGTAAACACTAAAAGAAGTGATAACGGTGGTGAGTATACAAGTAAGGAACTTGAAGAATATCTTATAAAACATGGTTTAAATCACCAACTTACTGTACCATATTGTCCAGCACAAAATGGAGTTAGTGAATGCAAAAACAGGTATTTGATAGAGATGACAAGATACCTTTTAGCTGACTCAGGTCAACCTAACAGATACTGGGCAGAAGCAGTACTAACTGCAAATTATTTACAGAATTGTATGCCCACAAAACCAAATGCGAAAACGCCATACAAATTATGGAATATCAAGAACTCTCTCATCTGAGGACTTCCAGGTGCAAGGCTTTTGCTTACATCCATAAATCTAAAAAGGGTAACCTGGATGATACTGCTATAGAAAAAATACTCGCTGGCTACGACAGTAGAAGTAAACGCTACAGAATTTTAGCCCCTGGAGACAAAATCATAATAAGTCGATCTGTACGATTTATTGAAGACACTGTAACTAATGACAAAAGCGTCTCTTTAAACCAGGATGAAGAAAATCCTAAGCAAGAAAGCTCAGAACAGGAAGAAATAAAAAT